GCACGAAAAGAAGGCGACCCCAACGTTGACCTGCGTCCGGTCCAGGCGCGATGGGGTCAGCAGAGGAGTCCTCAGCTTACTGCCTTTCCGAGCGCGGCCGTCTCCGGTCTCCATCCACAGCCTGTGCACAGCATATGAACGTCGCACTGGAAAGCTTATCACTTAGAGGAAGGAGAAGTCGTAAGTTTCCGCAGGAGAACCTGCATTTGCACTCTCGTGTTGGGCTTGTGGAGGTGACAATGCTTTTCATAGTCCGGGGCAACCTGCATTTGTCCACCCTGACAGCTTGAGCTGCGCGGTGAGGCCTCCATGTCGACTGATAATGCTCTTCTAGTCATGGCTGTATATGTCTGTATGGCCTGTGGATGCTTGGGATCAAGTCCCCGGAGTAACAACGTGCTTGGGGTTCAAGAGGCAAAGGGGGCGCTGAGCGGAACTCAAGGCAACCGAGACGACTCCTGGGCTTCAAGCAGAAACCCCCGACCATAATGCATGCGTTCTTCTCGCATCGACATATAGCGTTCAAGCCTCCTCTCCTGCCCTTTCTGCTGCGACATACACATATCTCTCTGCTGCTTGAGAAAAACAGAGACCGAGAGAATGTCAGGAGCTGCAAGACTCGGACTCGGCCCGGGGCCCCAAGCGCGCTGTCGCAGCCGAGAGCAGCCGAGAGCAGCTGAGAGAGCCGAGAGCTGTCCAGCGGAGGCCGTGACCTGCATCTGCTTCGGCCAAGAGAGGCTGCACAAGGCAGTGGGGGGCGGTGGAAGACGAAAGGCTTTTGCAAAAGGGATGTGGATCTCGCACGGGAAGGCTTATGTTCTGCTGGCCACCGCCTCCAAGGCCTCGCTGTGATCTGCACAATCTCCCCCCCCCCCACCCCCACACACGCATCACAGAACAGGACGGGACCGTGGTGGTCTACCGCTGCTACCGCACTGAGATGGAGATCGCCGGAAGCCTGAGAGCCGCTGTAACTGAAGCCAGAAGAGAAGCCGGCTTTCAATCAAGGCCATGCTGGACCACGACTTTGCTCCGGAAGAGGGTGCTTACTCTTCACCTCCTGCCGCCACTCGAAGCGCAAGTTTTTGCTGGGCCCGGCGTACGCTTTCCCGTCGCCGCACCGAGGACCATTCGAACATCGCCGTGCACTCCAGACTCGTGGGCCACTCCCGCAGGGAGCCCAAGGAGCGAGAGGGAAAGAGGGAGGGAGCGCAGAGCGGGTTTTGTTTCTGCTCTTTTCTGCCAGAGGTGCCATCACCAGCATCTTCTTCAACTTGCTCGAAGATCAGCTGGTCACCACCTCCATCGACAAGCAGCCTCCCCGTGCATCCAAGCTCGGTGCTCGCGCGGCACGGTCTCCAGTCAGGTCGGTGAGATTTTGGAGCATCGACAGCGGGGAAATGCTCAAAGTCTTCACGGACAGCTCGTCTGCGACCAAAGAGCTCCCCACAGATCTGGAGCCAAAGGCGACAGCATCCATCTTCTTTTCTTGAGGCCAGTGCCCGTCGCGGCTTTCCTTCCCTTCAACCCGCAGGTTCGGAACTGTAGGGTCTTAGGAGGGCCTTGTAGTTTAGGAAGCGGCCAGTGTGTTTGGTGAGGTTTTCGTCGCAGCCAATTCCAACGCAGTTCTCCGGCTGGTGAATGTTGGGCTCTCGGCGGCGCTGCCGGGGAACTGCATGTCCTCTTCCTCCAAAGCGCTCTTAGAACTTTAGGTGCAGAACGGGATGGTCCTGCAGAAGCTCAAGGTGGGGGACGTCCCGGCTCCGCTCCGTTCTGCGCGGGGGGCGCACCGCTCAGGTGGAGACCGAGGTCCGGGCACTGAAGTTCGACGACACGGGCCTCTTCCTTCTGGCAGGTCGGAGTCCAAGCCGCCGAAGGCTCCCCTTGGGTTTTTTTTTTGTGATTTTGACAAAGGCACCAAAAGTGGCAGTATCCATGTGCTGGAGGCGCCGCAAACCCTCCCCCCCCCGTCGGGAGTCCCTCTTGCATGTACACGGAGGCTTCGGATGCCAACACGCTGAAATTCAAGTTCAAGGTCAGTGGACATCATCTGCGACATTTCGCAACGGCGGACGTTGCTGGAGCGATCTTGGTCAGGTAAACCTTGCACGAGGAGGTGCAAGACAGAGGGGCATCGGTGAGCCCTGTGAGCGGCGATGACTTTTGGGTAAGTCAGGTGTGACGTGCATTACCTTCGTGCCAGCGGCCGGTGGGCAGCCGCCGGGGCACTGAGCAACTTATTGAGGAGAATCCGAAGGTGCCAGCAAGGGTTCAAACAGAGGCCTTGCCTCTTGGTGAACACCTCGGACTGCTCTGCGACGATCATTGACTGCACCTACGGCCCGCCCAGTGGGGCCGGGACCCGAGAGGAAAAATCCGCCCGCGCGGGAGAGCTCAGAGAGCCTTCAAAGAGCTGCCGTGAATTGCCAGGTCCTGAACAACCTCGCAGTGAGACACCGGGTCCGGGTGGCGCACGCACACCCAGACTTCCTGGGGCCCTTCAGGGGGGGGGGGGGGGGGGGGGGCGAGACGCTGGTGACCGAGGCACGAGCTTCTGCCGCTGAAGAACTGCTTTTCTCCCTCCGGTCCAGGCCAGGGCCAATTGGGGGCGGATTTTTTTGCCAAACCCAAAGCCCTCGTGCTGTTGCCAGGCTACTTGATCTCAGGTTCCGAGAACAAAGACGTGCTGTGCTAAGAGAGAGAGAGAGAGAGAGAGATCTCCCTCTCTCTCTTTTTTGTTGGCTCAAGTGTCCGCACCATTGCCTTGGGGGGCTCCTGCAGTTTTCTGGCAGCGGGGAGGAGACCCGGTATTACCCTGGAGCTGTTCACTCCAGGGCCTGCGGGTTATTCCGCGCGTCCGTTGCCGTTTCAACCAAGCGGTCCCTCCCTGTGACCCCGGCCCTCTTCGGACATGGCCAGTCGGTACAACCTCACGGAGGGCGCTCCTTACGGCAGCACCGCAATTCTCGTGACCTTCCAGATGGCAAGAGGGAGCAAATCTGCCACGTCGGAGGGGAACTTGCCCGCCTCGCTGGCCTAGCTTAAGCATTGACAGCCAATGCAGACTGCATGAGTCATAATGAGGTTATAGGCAGAGGGACGAGGCCTAAAGCACCCCAACAGCAACCCGACGTGCAACGAGTACAAGCCCATATGGCCCGCAGCAGAGCATGCAGAAGTGGACACGACAACTTTCAAGGAGGACCCTCGTGGGAACAGGGATGAGCCTCGGTGAGTGAACCAGCTCGATGTGAAAAGCCACGTTTGCGTGGGGGTACAGTTCAAAACTAACACCCTTGCGCCTTTAAAGGAACGCAGTTTTACCTTGGCGTGAGATGTAGGCGGAAGTACTACACGTTACTACACGGCTTCTGTCCTGACGGGCGCTTGCAGCCTTTACTTAATTCCTTTTGCTGACCCGATGCCTGCCAAACACTCTGCACAGTCAATAGCCGTTTGCAAGGGAATTGCTGCAGCCCCCAGCCCGCAAAAACAAAAAGAGCACGAGGCCAGCACGTCGTCTTGCACGGTTCCTTGTTCGTCTTGTTGCTGCCTCATGGCAAGCTCAGAGTTGACAGCCCGTCCACGTGTAATCACCCCCTTTTCAGGAATTGGGTGAAGGGATGAGGTGGTCGCAGGTACTACCGTCCGCTCAAAACCCTGCAGCCTTGTCTAAAAGAAACGAGAAGAGGGAGAGAGAGAGAGAGCGATGATAGAGAGACTGAGACCGAATTGCGTGAGGTCCACATCTACCCTTTGGGGAAAGGCTCCAACTACAAGATGCAGCCCTTGAAGCACCATCAGGAGGGAAAGGGCTTGATTCCTCTCACACATCGGCAATGATATGGAACGCGTTTGTCTGTGAGGTTCCCGTGGTGGCTGTGTCTGTGAACATGCAGGCCGCGCTTCCCCTCACAGCCTGGGATTCAGCTGACCGAAAACTTGCGCTGTGGCAAAAGGACACGTTGCTGGCCAGTGCCGACTCGCTGCAGCCTCGGATGTGTCGGATGCCTTCCGAGCCCTTGGGCGGCCTTCCTTTTTCCAGGCTGGGCCGCATCGTGCTTTGGAGACGGATGGACTTCTCGCACATACCCGACTGAGAGAGGGCCCCTTTCAAAGCCGTGCTCTCTGTTTGCCCCGGTGCAGCTTCGAGCGCGGGCTTAGAGCGCCGCTCAGCCTCGCTGCGTTGCACTCGCAGCTTCGGCATACGGCCAACGACTGTTTCGCGCTCCAGATCTGCTTTGAGCAGAGTTTCGTGAGGGGCGAAGAAAACCGACTCGCTACTTGTTGCCTGGCTCTTGTGCTTCTTTTTGGATCTTTTTGGTGATTTGCCTTGGGTGCCGTGCCTTGGCGCCGTTGCGTCAGGCCCGCTGGCCCGCTGGCCCGCTGCACGCCGCCCCGTCGCGGTGAGAGCTCTTGGGCTAAGGGCCTCCGGCCTGTCTCACCCGCCACTCTTATTGGAAGTGTCCCTGTCAGAGTCTGCCTCAGAGTCTGCCCCAGAGTGCACGGAGATCCTTGCGAGCGCAGCCTGCAGCCTGCAGTATCTCATGGGCCGCAGCACAGGAAGGGAGGGCGACTGGAACTTCGAAGAGACGCATAGACAGGAGAAATAAATGGGACATGAGGATTAAGAAGAGCAGTGACAGGAAGCGGACGAAAAGGAGGAAGACATTGAGTAAGCATAGCAAGATGGGAGGAGGAAAAAGAGAGAGAGCGACAGCCTTACGCACAGGAGTAGATCAGGATCTCTGTGTTGGACCGTGAAAAGCTGTGCTCTGCATGTGGGCAGGAGCGTTTACTCAAAGTGCAGACATCTGACGCCGGAGTAGGCGGCAGGAGCAGAAGATTGGAGCACTGCAACGCCCTTTCGGAAGCCACTCCTCGCGGCCTCTCCTCGAGCCTCGCCTGGCTACGTGCTGAGCACGGGCCCGGCCCCCAGAGGGCGGGTCAAAGGGAGGAGAAAAGCGCAGAGAGAGCCTCCCCACCCGCGCGGTGTGCATGGGAAGAGAGCACATGTTCTCATGTTTCTTGTCTGATCTCCTCCGCTGGAGCCGCTAGAGAGAGTTGGCTCAAGTTTGCAGCGGCCCCAATTGGTGCAGCGGCCCCGACGCGATGCCACTCTTTGAGCTGGCAGCGGCGAGTCTCTTAGTTGCCGGTGCGAAGCTCGCGGACTCGGACTCCCCCATGGCCAGCTCGGAGGAGAGAGCTCTTTGTGAGAGAGAGACGTGGCACCGCCCTCCGTGCTCCTCTGCTCCTCTCCCTGCTCTGCTGAGAGGCACGTGAGACCTGGGAGGCCTGGGCCAAGGCTTTGGGGCTTTCCGCCGCTTTTCCTCTCTTTCGTTCGTTTCGCGTTTCGCGTTTCGGTTTCGGTTCGTGTTTTGGTGCAGAGGAGGCCGCAGAGGAGGCGTCCTCGCCACGGCAGGAGCGGCAGGAGCGGCAGGAGCGGCACGAGGTTCAAGGCTGATCTCTTGAAGTGTCGACTGGCCCCCCCGGCAAAAAAAAAAAGCAGACACTTCTTGTGGCAGGGACGGAGAGGCGGAGGGAGCTGGATGCAGACGCGCTACCGCAAACTGCTCGGACTGCTCGTGCCCCCGATGCTTTGCCGGACGCGGAGGAGGTGGGAAGCAAAGGCCCCGAAGCGGAAGGCGCGAAGCACATCGCGTGCGTGCCGAGGAGGAGTGGGTGATGCTGGAGCCTGCGAAGGACGCTTCACCTTTCTCTTGGCAAGGCTCTTTTTTTCTTGACTCCGACGTCCTGCAGGGTTTCGCTGATGAGAGATGGGTTGCTGCCTTAGTTGCGCAGTCTGCCATCCTAGGCCATGGGGAGGTTGGCTTCCTTCTGCGAACGCTGAGGAGATGCCACACCTCTTGTCCCTCACGTGCGCCCCATCCATGCGGAGTGCACATATGCAGTCCTTTAAAACGAGAGAGGACCGAGAGGAGTGTCTCTCTGCTTTCCAAGCCAGCTCTCTGCAGGCCCCCGGATGCCTCGCATGCAATATGAGCGCAGCGAGATCCGAGGCTCAAATTGGCCTCTCTGGAGTCTCTGCTTTCAAGTACAGGCGATGCGTGTCAGGCTCGCGAGACTAATTCACGCAAAGTGGCGTAGGAGACAACACTACTGAGAGGGGATGAGTCGAAGTTTGTAGGCGGCACGTCTCACCGGATGTCAAAGTACGAATCCGATCTCTGTCGCTTTGCACTTTGGCGTGCAAGCCCCCGGGCTTTTGTAATCTCAGGGGGATTTACAGCACGGCTGTCGCATCGCTGCGGTGCCGCCAAAACAGTTAGGGATGACCATTTCCATTTTC